ACCCGCCGGAGGGTGATATGACGCTCGCAAGCCTTAGACCAGTCTTGGACGCAAATTGATCACATTGCGAGCAATTACCGCGAGAGAGCTGTGTCCCAAACTGTCGCTCGATTTGGAGCACGTGTGTGGGCACTGACCATGCACTTGTATGTGCTGATCTGAAGTGCGTTGTGGTGGACGCCCATGACGACGCTACGAACGAATTGACACCACCCAATTGGCGAAGCCAGATGTTCTGAATACGTATCAAAGTACGCTTGCATCCGGTCTGAGTAAGCGCTCACTGAATACACTTGAAGGTAATTGGTCGCACGTTCACCAGACCTTGTTGGCAGCAGCCAACTCCTCATGTGACAAGTATAATAGCCAACACGGAATTTGAGTCCCTTCGCGGTATCTGGAATTGTCTATGCTCGCTGGCACATTCTGACTGGAAGTGAACACAAGAAGACTCACAAAGACCACAGAGCAAAGCTCCGTGCAAGCCTGAAGAGAGACCGTGAATTTTGGTGGTCACATCGTGCGTCAGTAGTGGAAGTGGCCTCTGTTCTAGTCAATTATTCCGTCTGATACGGGAAACGGTAGCAGACCTGTTGCTAGTGAGACTATATGTGACGGTAATGGACAGCCTATCCTTAAGTTAGCAAAACGTTAGGAGCGTTGGACTGAGCAATTTGAAACGCAATTTAATCAACCGGATTCGTCAGATTTCTCGCCGCCCTTTGATCGGCCTGCTCCCTTGGCGGTCCCTTTGGATTCGCTCTCTCGCTCAGCGGTCGATCGTGAGATCGGACTGTTGAAGTTGAATAAAGACGCGCGACCAAATGATCATCATCCAAACTTCCTCAAATACAGGGAGTCTGCTATCGTTGATGATTTACACGAGTTAGCAGTGAAAATGTGGGAGCAAGAAACTGTCCCATTTGACTGAAGCCGCTCTGTCATAATCCCAATCATCAAGGGAGCCTCAAGTACGGAATGCGGTAACCAAAGAGGAATCAGTCTGATCCCCATCGCCACAAAATTGCTTGCCTCTGTCATCCTTCACAGACTGACTGGCGATCGTGGAAACCAGATTCGTGAGGAGCAAGCCGGGTATCGTCGAGATCGGGGCTGCATCAACCACATTTTCACTTTGCATCAACTGTTGAAACACCGCCACATATATTGGCGGCCCAACGTTGTCGTGTTTCTCGACATCAAAGGTGCCTTAGACTCGGTGGATCGATGGGCCCTTTGGGACTGTCTACTCAGGGAAGGTGTGGCCGAGAAACATGTAAATACTATGCGAGCGCTTTACGCGAAGCTCGGACTGAGTGAGGGTGTACGGAAAGCTGTTGCCACACTGCAATATCTTCAGCGGTGTAAGACTAGGATACTCTCTGTCACCATTCCTGTTCAACTTCACCATTAACAAAGTCATGGAGATCGCGTTCACAGGAAATGACTTAGAAGGTGTGGAGCTTCCCCCACGATAATGAGTTCGTGACTTGGACTATGCTGATGATATTTTCCTCATATGTGACAGCTCGCAGACGTCCCAACCTGCGCTGGATAGGATAGCGCTACCCGTCAGTCGTTTCAGGCTTTCTTTGTACCATCGAAGTGTAATGGTTTCTTCCAAGATTGGCAGGTATTGCATGCTGCACTGACCCGTTTTGGGGATCAGCTAGATGTCGTTCAAAGATTCAACTACCTGGGTAGTTGTATCAGCGTCCCTGGAATGGAAGCGGTCACAAATCGTATAGCAAAAGCTCGAGGCACTTTTGCTAACCTTCGCTACCTATGGCGCCGGCGCGACATCACTCCCTTCCTGAAGGGCACAGTTTACAATGCAGCCGTAGGTTCAACCCTACTGTACGGTTGTGAAACCTGGCCTAGTAAATCGGCAGACATAAAGAGGCTAGTTACGTTCGACCACCGGTGCCTTCGCAATTTGGCTCGTATCTTGTGGCAACACCGTGTGAGCGATGAGCGTGTTCCACGTCTTGTTTATGGCACAGTAAGAAGATATGAACCGCTGAGCACTGTTATTTCACGCACCAGGCTCCGATGGCTCGGCCACGTGTTGCGCATGCTAGCACACCGACTCCCGCGACGTGCGTTGTTTCTGCGCAGGGGTGTGATAGAAGAACATGAACACCGAACACCCCACTTCACAAGAAATTGGTGAATAATCATGTTTGAATCCTAACATCTCACTAACATCTATGAAGAAACTTAGTGCTTTATTCAAATAATAGATCACCAAGAGTAGATGTTAAGTATTGTACAGCTATCTACCGTAATGCATGCACTCGAAATCATTCGTAAAGTCCAAGTGAAACCATCGCTTCCTGTTCCAATATCAACTACCGCCTGCGATTGATAGTTTCCTGACCCAAGATCGATGCTGACGAATCCGTGTTGCTCCGATGCGCTGTTTTCCAGGCAACTCACTGACACATCTGCGATGATCGCTTCCATGACCTTCAGAGGCACAGAGAGAAGCGTTATCGGGCCATAATTGGTAAACCCATGCCAGCTTCCTCTCTTGTGAATGAAAGTGACACTACATCGTCCCCACGTTGACGGAGCCATGTTCGCGTTCAGATGGCACTGAAAGATTCCGGCCAAATGCTTAGCTGGATCCATGGCTGCTATTTGTAGTGTCTTCTAATGAATGTTATCGGCTCCAGGTGAGTTTTGTGCGCACAGGGTTAGTTTCTTCTTCATCACCGCTTCTGGACTGAAGGTGACACTAAGTAAACCTGCTAGCGTGATTACAGCAGAAGTGAACCCCCTTCAAACCTGGAAAAATCTGCTAGGTTGATGAGTACTGGATCTGTAAGACGGCCGTCTCTCTCAACCATGGCGGATAGCTTGTTTCCACGTTGAACTTTATAAGCGCGATAAGAATGTAAAGAAGTTCTTGGTTGGAACAGAACCAGCTTCTGTTGACGTGTTAACTTCTTACCATGACCAGATTGCACATAGCAGTTGTGCAGAGCTAAGGGCGGTACACAGGTTTTAAAACTCGGAGGGTCCATGCAGAGAAGTCAGGTCAAGTTGCTAGTGGTATCTAATTTCGTGTTCTGCAACTCAAAATGAGTTTGGTTAGAGGAGACAGTAGAATAGTTTTCACGCCGATTCTCTGCGGCCATTGCGGTGAGTGTAGCTAGGAATGTTCCTCAAGCTACCGCTGGGGCACAGTTAGACATGAATTTCCATCCGTTCTCTTTAATGGATCCTGAGATCAACTTGCCTAGTCAGGAAAGACCGAGGCTGTTTTGATCAGGGGATCATGGAAGTACTAACATTCTAGCACTACAGAACGTCACTCAAAACACGAGATCGCTTCACTGGTTAGCTGCATCGCCTACGGCGGTCAAATCAGAGACTTGCTCATCGGTAAGACCATGTTTGTACATGGAGATTGTGAGGTTTCTATCTGTTATTTAAATGGGGTATGAACGAAGATACGTTGCGATCGATGATGTCGCATGGACCAGAGAATTAGCACCGCGGGTTGCAGACTCACAGTGATTGGCTGTCTTCGATCATCAGTGACTAGATGGTGAGCTCCACTGAAGTACGCTAAACGGGGATTTGGCACCGATGTAGTCCCAGACTGTTGTTTGTTGGTGAACCACCAACATTGGTTTGGCCACGCAGCTACTAAGCTCGTCGGACGCCTGCATTGCCAAGTACGGTGCTGGGTCACTGCTGCTGGTTGAGTGTTGTGGTACATTTGCCAACAGGTCTTTTTAGATGGTATAGTGTAGGCAATTGATCAAGGTGCTTAGTTGCCAGATCTGCCACCAAGATAGACCAAAACAGTGGTTATGAAAAGTGTTAGGCTTACTGTACTAAGAGATTCACTGACGGTGTTGCATTCGGTTTCATGCATGTTATTAGTTATCTCAGGTACAAATACAATAAAAGTTTCGTTCGAAACGCACTTGATTTAAACTGATATAGATAAATGGACTATACTGCACGATCTTCGTCACGATCTTCGTACAAGTGGACCGCATTTTGCTACTCAAATCGTATTCAGGTAACTGGCTAGAACTGGACATTTGCACCCAGCGATGTGCAATACTTTTGTTTCCTTCAAAGTGCGTCACAGGAGAGGTACTTGATGGTCCCGCCTTTCCCACATGACGTCACTAAACCATATTCGTGTATGGCAGCTGTGGTTCGGTTGCAAGCTGCGGGGGCCAAAAATGATTAAATAAACTACAGAATGGCTGTACCAGAAGAGAACACGGTGGCTTGAGTTCCTACAGGACGAAGAATACCTGAATAGGTTTAAGTTGGTTCCAGAGGATTTTAAGACCCAAAGACCGAAGTACTCTAATTCAACGCTGTAAGTCGCGTTCAAGGAAATTGCTAGACGAGTAAGATTGCAATCGAGTGTAAGTAAATATCGAGAAATGACCTTGGCACTTGATAAAATAACAATAAAATTCGAATGTACACAGTAGACAGAAGGTTGACATAATAATTTAGAACGATGGTGACGCAAGTCCTAAAGACTCTACGAGATTTTGGCAACGTAAAGCCCACCAGTAAAAAGGAATTTTATGAGATATAATACTATCTAACAAAATAGAGTGAAATAGCTTTGTGAAGGGATATTGATGATACAAGTTGTATTCATCACGATAGGTTCAATCAGACGGCCGTCATAAATACACAAGAGTGCTGAAGAGCCGTTACACTCAATTGGTAGCACGAATTTCATCTAACCAACGTGGGTAAGAACCCGCGACTCCGTGGTTCAGAGCACTTGTCCAAGGAAGATGGCAGCGACTGGCTTGACAAAGTTACTGAGTGATATGCAACATGGCTCACTGCCTACCGAGTTGCACCTTTCTGCCTTGCAGAGATAATAAACAAGGGTAGCAAGTTAGCTACGAACTACAATGATTTCCAAGCAACAAAGTGTCAAACAAAATATTTGTTTTCCAAGGTTGTGAATACTAATGCTGTGGTCATTCTTCTCTGTTTCACAGGAGTATGTGCTACGGGGGCTAGGTGCAGAAATCGTGCGGACGCGAACATCAGCGGATTTTGATGACCCTGATTCCCATATCCGGGTGGCTGAAGAGCTGAAACGGAAAATTGGTCCCACTGCTCACATCCTGAACCAGTACACAAACCCATACAACCCAATCGAACACTTTGACCAGACAGCAGAAGAAATACTACGGGATTGCACTGAAACGAATGGAAAAATACGGATAAACATGTTAGTCGCGGGAGCTGGCACTGGTGGCACAGTGACCGGTCTGTCGAGGAAAATAAAGCGCATACAGCCAAACTGCCAAGTAAGCATCTCTTTCAATTGCATACCGTTGACCCGCAGTTTTTATGACTCCACCTCTATTTTCTCTACAGATGGCTGGATAAGAGTCCATCGAAGGACTTTTTTGCATCACCAAATTGTCCGACGGTCGCGCATCTCAACCCGTGCTCCGTGGTGGGATGGGTTTCAGTCGCGTTAACCTCAGTTGTGGTTGATGAGAGTGACTGTACTGTGGTGACTGCCTAGGGTAAAACTGAAGCCCTCGGATCATCTCTACAACGCGCATTAAGTAGTTGTGATGTGTGAACAAGCGGGTTCAAGTCCACCGGTTAATCTGATTGTGAGTCAAGTGCGAACTAACTTTAGACAGGGTGATGTAGCGATTGGGAGTTAATATCATCTCTGCGTTTGGTTTGGTAAGTGGATTTGAGCTGCTGGGTGCTATGGATGGTTGATCGCACACAGTTATTCGGCATTATATATGCAGCCAGCCATCGTTGAAATGAAATGGCCATCGAATTATCACCCAGTTGTGTTTCTTACAATGCATCCCGACTGCCTGGCTGGGTCCTAAGGACGGTGAACACGTTTGGTTTGACACACTTACTGATATGGCTCGGAGCCGGCACCAATGGCGTTTGTGTTGTGATTTCCTTTGCCCATCCCTCTCCTGTTTAGTATCCCCCTCCAATCATGATCTCATCTGTTAGGCATAATATGATTCTCTTTTACGGCAGCCAGCTGTTAGCTCTCCGGAACGATGTCCATCCGTTACTGGGGACTCAGCGGGCGTGCCACTGTTTTTCCTTTTATTTTGTATTGCGGCACAATAGCTGAGGTGTATTCCACCTCCAGCTAACGTGTAATGATGAT